TATTACTGTATATACTTACATACATACATAATATATTTATAAATTATATATATATATATATATATATTATAAATGGTATGCAATTTAATGCACTTCCTCTTTGTGCCTTATCTAAATTCTAAAGTTTTATTGATGTAATCTAGTTGATTCAGTGGAATAATGACTTTTTCTGCATGAATACAATAAAATAATTTAGACGAGAGTGGTCTGAGGGAACAGAAGCAGGACCTGCAGAAGGTTTTCCTTCGGTGTGGCCAGCAGATTGACGGCCGAGGAGAGCTTGAGAAGGTAAGTGTGAGCCAGATCCGCGAGTCCGGCTCCGTGAGCCCAGTCCATCAGCAGATCCAGATTGGCCCTGACCTGGACTCCACGGGACCAGCAGTAAAACGCTCCTCCGGACCCTGCACACGAGAGCAGCGGTCGCATGAGATGCATGAAACACCTGAAGATCAGCCGCATCTGCTGACTCACTCACCTCTCTCCATCAGCAGGTTGAAGAGCAGAGCGTTGATGAAGAAGAAGAGGTAGGAGAAGAGCTGCGCGCTGATGTCCGGATGCACGTCGAACGCTCGGAGCAGACGCAGACTCTGACTGCAGACGTCCAGCACGCGTCTGACCTGCGACGACACCTGCAGCTGCCCGCTGTCGGAGAACGCATGACTGTCCAGAACGCCGGGGAGAAGCGGGTACAGCATCTGACCAAACACACACACACACACACATGAGCCCAGGAGAACACACCGCTCCTGATGCTGATGCTGATGCTGATCGCTCCATTCTGATGAACAGCATCCATACAGAACAACTGCTGACCTTAACCTTCCTACAGTAACCCTCAGAGTTCATAATAATGCAATTCTATAGCAAACTAGAACTAAAACCACACACACAAAAAGAAAACTCAAGTAAATAAATCAGCTAGTGGCCAAAGCAACATTTCTCATTCTTAAGGGTTAGTTCATTCAAAAATGTACCAATAAATTAACAGCAAATTTTCATTTTTGGGTGAGCTATATATTTCACTGAGATGTTAATAATTTACAATTATATATATTTTTAATTTAATAAAATTAATAAAACTATATATATATATATATATAATAGATATAATAATATATAGACAAAGGCTACTGAAAATGACAAATGACACAACAAAAACTACTAAATATTTAATTAAAAATGAAAATGGAAAATATAACAATAAAAAACTGATTTAAAATAATAATCAAACCTATAAAAATATCTCAGTGATACTAAAAGAACAATGAACCTTAGCAGCGATGGCATGTCAAGGTGGTCACAAGGATTTTCATCTCATTTCTATCTAATTTATAAATAATCTCAAATTTTAATAGCATATAGTTTTTTATTCTTTTATGTTTTATATTTAATTAAATTTTTTATTTGATTTCTTTTCTGTCTAGCTGATTTTGTCCCTTAACTGTCTCCTTTTTGCTGATTTTTATTGTGGAAAAAATATATTCAAACTAATTTGAATCAATATCCAAAAATGTTTATCACCATATTTATATGTCAAATAGTGCTCTAATATTGAGATGAAAGATTCTCTTAGTGAATATTTTCAGACAATATTTTAATAATTTGCAGTCATTTTAAAACTTTTTATACAATGCCAAATAAAGGCCAGATAATGTATTTAATCTCTTCTTTATATATATTTTAAATATTTTATTTATATTTCATTTTAATATTTCATATGCATGAAAATATAAACTCTAGCTGCACTTAATGAACTTTACTTTATAAAAATACTATGGACACATGTTTGAAATAAAACCTTATTTTGAAACATTTTTCATTTTAAGATTTTTATTATTTATTGATTTTTATCTTTAATATTAATTTTATATATATTTTAATTAATAACTAATTATTAATTGTATAGTTATTTTAGTGCATCAGGTTAACCTGAATGAAAATGACATCTCTTTCAGCAGCGCCTATATTTGAATAATTCATTGTTTAGGTCGTGCCACTTTCAAAGTTCATTCCTGGCCATTTCTAAAACACAAGACAGTCCATATACATCTTATCATCAACAGAACAGGCTGAACTTGCTCAGACAGACCACGATCTCGCTCTCGTCTGCGATAAGATTTCGACACTCACTGACCGAATGACCGTTCATCTCGCATCCTTCCTGCAATCCTTCATGCTTTAAGAGCCTAAAACAGACCCAAAACGACTGGAATAAAGCTGCTGGTTGTCTGGAGAGAGATGAAGCACATGTGTTTGTCATTCTCTGACATCTCTGTTGCTAACAGCTCTCTATATTTGAGCAGTAAGCGTGTATGTGACTGCATGCAGTCGGGGAATGACTGAAAGAGAGTCTGTGTTGAAGACGTTCAGCCCACGTGCTCCATCTCAATGTGCCACACATCACAATAACACAAAGCTGGCTTTGTTCTGTGTAATTGTGTGCAGACGGCTGTATGTATGGATTCTCAGGGAGACACCAGTTTGGCAGCCGCCGGCCGCTCCGTCTCCAAACAGCAGAAAATATCCACCCAAAACCATGAAGGAAAATCTGACACACAACCAAACTGCTTCCCACTGAAACAGAGCTTCATCTGCAAACGCTTTCAATGGTCATAATGAGATTTCATAACAGTCCAGTTATTAACTTTAGCTGATTAATTTCCATCTAATTGCTTGACATCCCTAATTTTTAGAGCTAAAAAACTGCACAATGTTTAATTTCATTTAAATACATTTTTTATTTTATTACATTTTTATTTCTGTTTTTGTTTTTTTGCATTGCATTGCATCTTCCATCTTTTTCCTTGTCACTGTCATCTGTAACTTGGCAATATTCCCTGTTTGGAATTCAAATTTGGAACAGTTTTATTAAAACATTATATTCATGCATATATTGAAAACATTTTTGACAAGGTTTGTTTCTAATTGTTTGACAACCCTAATTTTAAAAAACTGCACATGAAAAGTTTTATGAAAATTGTTATATTTTATTTTAAGTATTTTTATTTGTATTGCACCTTCTGTTCAGGGCTATTTTATAGTTTTTATTAATATTTTTGCAATTTTATTTTATTTTAGTTTAGTGTTTTTATTTGTAATGTATCTTCCATCCAGAGTCATTTTAGTATTATTCAGATAGTTTTTCATCAATTTTTTATTCGTTTTTATTTTAATATTTTATATATTTTATATTTTAGTTCAAGTTTTAGTATTTTTGCGGTGTTTCTGTCATTTTTTTTTTATTTTTTATAAATACATCTATATATGTTATTAATGTCTTCATTCATTTTTATTTCAGTTTTAGTTTCAGTATTTTTGCAGTGTTTCTGTCATTTTTATTTGTTTTTATAAATACGTCTATATATGTTATTAATGTCTTAATTCATTTTTATTTCAGTTTTAGTTTTAGTTATTTTAGTACATCATCAAAATAAACTAAATGAAAATGAGAAATCTTGGAAACTAACTCAAATAAAATATTTTTTTAATATATATATATATATTTTTTTTTCATTTCAGTTCATGTTTATTTTATTTCAACTAACGTAAATGGGTTTTTAGTTTCAGTTTTAGTTTTAGTTAATGATAACAACAGATTTTCTCTGTCACTCCGCTCTGTGACTTGCTCATTGCAAAGTTGAAGTGATTACTGAAATATTATATGCATGAGAATGCTATTCGAATGAATTTGAATTGAATGTAAAATGTTTCTCTGCAGCAAACACAGACTGAATGCAAACGAAATCTGTTGTGTCCAGCGCTGGGAATCACCAACAAATGTGTTTTATTAGTTTAAGTCCAGCAGCTGTTTCCTTCTCAGCGAGATCCAATCACACACAAGCGGCTCAAAACCTCCACAGAGAAAACACAGCCTGTTATTGAAGCCGTAAAACATCAGTTTGCTTTCCAACCGGCCGTGTTTGTTTTTGATTCAATTTTCCTACTGAAAATATTGAGCTCATAACGGAGCGCTGGCACCGTGTGAGAACAGAACGAGACGTTTGCCAAGCTTTTAAAGTATCAAATGTCATTTACAGAAGAACGGATGGTTTGTGCCACCGATACAAACCACACCACTTAATCATTTCCACTCTCAATAAATGCCGATCAATAAAAACGTCAATAAAAATGTTTCTCAGAATCGAAATGTTAGGATGAAAAACGTCGTCTCAAGGAAATTTCCCACGACTCCAACTAACTTTTGAATTTATTTTATTGCACGCTTCAAATGACTATCTTTATAACGAATGCAATTAGTCAAGGATAACCGGTTAGTCGAGGTTAATGACTAAATAAATGTTCGGTTTGGCCTCTCTCTATATATTCAAACACAAACTCATTAAACATCAGAGATTGAATTTGTTTGCATGATGACGGATGAAATGCCTCCAGCTTGTTGTTTCATTTACCGTCGGCCGTGAATTTAGTTTTTCCACAGAAAAGCCTCATCAAAATGTTGGACGTTGTATTGCACTAAATCAAATCACACCCATATAAACAGCCTCTCTTTCCACGGCAAACAATCTCAGATGAATTATAATTTCCCAAAGGGGGCGAGACATTGGAGGATTTTCCCATGCAGAATACAAATCAATCCCAAATCCCGGCTTTGCCAAACGACGATGTCTGAACACTGAATTAAAGTCTGTGAGAAACGAACCTGTTGCTATTCAGCAGAATCTCTGCAGCTTATGAAATATAACCGAGGAAACTTTTAATCACTTCAAGACTTGAAGTCATAGGGTTAGGATGAAAGACGTCTGCTCATGCTGCATTTATTTCATCAAAAACACAGTAAAAATTGTGAAATATTACAATTTAAAATAAATGTTTTCTATATATGTGAATATGTTCACATAGAATTTCCATCATCATTACTCCAGTCTTCAGTGTCACATGATCTTCAGAAATCATTCTAATATGCTGATTTGCTGCTCGAGAAACATTTCTGATTATTAGTGTTGAAAACAGTTGTGCTGCAGAATATTTTTGTGGAAACTGTGAAACATTTTATTTTTTTAAACTAATAGTAAAATATAATATAATCTATAATAAAACCTTAAAAAATAAGGTAAAATAGAAGAATTATAAAAAAAAATCTTAAAAACAAACATTTTATTTGAATTACGTAGGCCTTATTAATTACTAGTTGACCGGGTTACATATCTCATTTTCATTTAGCTTAAATTGGTATACTAAAATAACTAAAACTGAAAGAAAATGTAATAAAAAAAACTATATAGGCATATTAAAAAAAGAGATAAAATAAACGAATAATAGGCTGCTCAAGAAACATTTCTGATTATTATTAATATTGAAAACAGTTGTGCTGCAGAATATTTTTGTGGAAACTGTGATACATTTTATTTTTTTAAACTATTAGTAAAATATACTATAATATATAATAAAACCTTAAAAAATAAGGTAAAATAGAAGAATTATAAAAAAAAATCTTAAAAACAAACATTTTATTTTAATTACGTAGGCCTTATTAATTACTAGTTGACCGGGTTACATATCTCATTTTCATTTAGCTTAAATTGGTATACTAAAATAACTAAAACTGAAAGAAAATCTAATAAAAAAAACTATATAGGCATATTAAAAAAAGAGATAAAATAAACGAATAATAGTAAAAATAACCAAAGAACACTACTAAAAATGTAACTAAAATTCTAAATATGAACAAAAAACATCTGCAAATGTAACAAAGGCACATACAGTAAGAAGCCACTAGTGAAAATGATATGAAGATCACATACACGTATATACTGTATGATACACTAGATTCATTCATTCATGTCCATCAAGGTCAGATGCAGCAAAGACATCTGGAAGCACTTGAGATCAGCGCTGCAGTTCACAAAGCCACAGTTTCTCTGGGCTGCTAACCTGTGCTATTCATCATTCAAACCGGCTCACGAGCGAAAGCTACAGCTTTTCTTAAGCACAATCTGTGTTTCCATCAAGTTGAGTATACGTAACGTATATGGTTTTGTGGTGTAAAGAGAGATTTTGACCCCATTTCACTGCATTGACATTGAATTCGCTCAAACATTGTGCCACATTTCAGCACATACATCTATGGCTATTGTAGATAAATCTATTTTCTAAATGCATATTATAGATCTTATTGTGAACGGTTTATCCGTGCATATGTTTCTTTTTTATTTTGTCTTCTCTCTGGGGACAAATGCAGGATTTCTCCAAGTATACAGTGTTCTTAAGCTCCGCCCCCGCAAGCTCACGCCTCATCTGCATACTTGCTTGAGAGCCACGCCCACATCTCAACATCCAATCAACAATCCGATGCGAATCCGAAGTCCCGCCCTGAATTTTTCTTTTTGATAATAACCATTACACTCGAATGTGTGTCACAATACGGAAGAAAAAATCTGTCGCTACTTCCTTTTGTTGTGACTTTTGTCTGCACTTGTATATTTAATATACTGCTGCGAATTTCTTCAAAATGTCTTTTGTGCTAAACAGATGTAGTAACTAATAACTAAAACTGAAATTATACAGACTATTTATATTTTATTACATATAAAGTATACATAAAAATCACAAAGTTAAAATGAAAACAGAAAATATAAAAAATAAAATTCAAAATAAGAATGAAAAATAAATGATCAAATTATAAAAATCTCAATTATACTAAAATAACACTGGTCTCAAGTTTGTATCTTCCTTTGTGTTCTTTGTGTTAAACTGATGTACCAAAATAACTAAAACTGAAATAAAAAAATTAAAAAATTACATATTTATTATTACATAAAAAAATACATATAAAATACATATAAAAAAATGATAACAAACACAACAAAATTACTAAAACTTTAAAGGGTTAGGGTTTAAAGGGTTTTGGGTGAACTAACCCTTTAACTAAAAGTAAAAGAAAAAAAGAAAAACAAAATTAAAATATTAATAAAAATTTGAATAGTATCTCAATCATACTAAAATAAAATTGGTTACAAGTACTACTAATGTATCTACTTTCTGGTTCTTTGTGTTAAATTGATGTACTAAAATAACTAAAACAACTAAAACTAACTAAAAAAAAATCTAAAAATTCTATAGACATTTAAAAAAAATCCAAAATACATAAAACAAAAACGCTACAAGTTTCACTAAAGTTAAGAAGAAGAAAAAAGTATCACAATAATACTAAAATACTACTGGTCACAAGTACTGCTTATGTATAAATTGATGTTTAAATATGTCAATTGTTAAATTGATGTATTAAAAAAAAACTAGTAAAAATGTCAAAAACACACAAAAAAAATTCCAAAACTTTAACTAAAATTAAATAAAAAATTTTAAAGTAATGTACTAAAATAGCTAAAATTGAAAGAAATCTTTTTTCCACAGAAGAAATAAAGTCGAACAGCTTTTGAATAACTGATGACAGAATGATCATTTTTGGATGAAGCATGCAGAGGGCCTGACCTTGGTGAGATAGTAGACACATTGCTGGAAGGTGAACATCAGGACCTCCTCCAGGACCGTCATGGCCTCCTCACTGGCCGAGCGCACGGAGGAGAGCCGCAGCTCCAGCACCGCTGGAATATAAACACAGACACGCAAACATACTGAATCTGAACACATACATCACATTATTCACATCAGCACTGACTGATTTACCAATGCAGTCTTCCTCCTCCTCCTCCTCCTCCTCCTGAGAGACTCCGTGCAGCAGAGGAACCTCCTGCTGGTGGATGAAGTGAAGGATCTGGACGGCGTTGGACATCCAGAGGACCAGCGGCTCCAGACCCCGGATCAGTCTGTCAGCACCAGAAGGCCAGTCTGCCGCGTCTGACTCACTTCTGCTTGCGTCAGGAGAGCGAGGAAAATCTGGTTTTAATGTACGCCGTGTCTAAGATATTGAATTTTAATTCCTCTGGTTACGAAATGATGAGAACTTAGTTCCTGATCTTACATTTCAGGCTGCAAAGCTGCGAGTTCCTTTGCCTTTTCCTGTATTAAAGTATTAAAAAAGATGCAGTACAGTTACAATGCAAAACACGGAGGACTAAAAATGTCTAATGAAATGTCTATTCAAATGCTGTCAAGAAAATAATCCATAATAAAACGTGCCTCACACAGCTCTGGGGGGTGAATAAAGGCCTCCTGTAGCTAATCAATGCGTTTTTGTAAGAAAAATATCCATGTTTAAAATATTATAAACACTTTTCTCTCACTTCCGCTAACTGTCGTATGCGGAAGTCGTTCTGGCGGATGATGTAGTATGCAGCGTAAGTGCCAATGATTCGTGACGAACACGGAGGAGAGCAAAACAAAATGCCAGTCACGAATTAGAAGCACAAAACAAGGATTTGTAAAGAAAAATGTCAAAGGAGTTCGATATAAGCCAAGAGGAGACTGGTTTTCCTTTGCTAAAGTAAGGAAACTTTGCTTCCTTTGCTCCTGTAAACAAACTCGTGAAACTAGCAACTAGGCGCGCGCGACGCATACGTCCTACGTCATCCGCCCGGAGCGGCTTGCACATATGACAGTCAGCAGAAGTGAGAAAAAAGTGTTTATAACGTTTTAAGTATGGATATTTTTCTTACAAAAATGCATCGATTCACTACAGGAGGCCTTTATTAACCGTGTGAGTCACGTTTTATTATGGATGCGCGCACTTTATTGCACTTCTTTTGGACTGCTGAACAAAAACACCTGCCTAGTGCCATTATAAAGCTTGGAAGAGCCAGGACCATTTTTAATATAACTCCGATTGGATTCGTCTGAAAGAAGAAAGGAATCCACAACTGAACAAACCACAAACAAGTAAACAATGCTTAGTCTTTGTCATGCATTAGAAAAGTGTCAACCCACTAAAACTGAAATCTTAAAGGAACACTCCACTATTTTTGAAAATAGGCTAATTTTCCAACTCCTCTAGAGTTAAACAGTTGAGTTTTACCGTTTTCGAATCCATTCAGCCGATCTCCGGGTCTGGCGGTAGCACTTTTAGCTGTAGCTTAGCATAGATCATTGAATCTGATTAGACCGTTAGCATCTCGCTCAAAAATGACCAAAGAGTTTCCATATTTTTCCTATTTATTCTAATCAGATTCAATGATCTATGCTAAGCTACAGCTAAAAGTGCTACCGCCAGACCCGGAGATCGGCTGAATGGATTAGAAAACGGTAAAACTCAACTGTTTAACTCTAGGGGAGTTGGAAAATTAGCCTATTTTCAAAAATAGTGGAGTGTTCCTTTATATTTAATTGTTGTCTTAAATGTGTAGATAAAAACTGTAAATAAATAAATAATAAAAGTTTAAAAAGTTATAGCCTGCAGTGATACTTTTATTGCACTTTTTGGACCACTTTAATTTTATTACTGATAAGGAAAATGAAAACTGAGTGAAAATCAAGTAAAAATGAAAAATGTTAATCAGAGTTAAATGTTAAATGAATGCAGAAAACAATGTGATTATTATTATTATTATTATAATAAATGTAATAAATAATAATTAAATCATTTTTACAGTGAACCATTTTATGCAGTATTATACATATGAAGTCAAAAATGTTATTTATCAAAAACATTTAGAATATTATTATTGCCATTTTAAAATAATAACTATAATTAATAATAATAATAATACATTATAAATAATAATGAAAACTTTTTTATAGTGTACCATTTCATGTGGTAATAATAAATTGTTTTACTGAGATCAAGAATATTATTTTTTTATATAATATTATTTATACTTTTTAAATGATTACAGTATCATTAATAATAGTAATGTCCACAGTTTGAATATTCATGTTTCTTGAATAGTAGAGCATGGCACAATCAATGCCATGGTTTGTCTCCCAGGAACAGGCTGGCATCTGTTAGAATGGACAGAGAGTATAATAACAATCATTACACACATGTGAAGTTTACGTGTAGAGTGTATATACTGTATGTGCGCACGTGTGTTTGATCGTTTACGGTTGTCATCACACACAGCTAATCTGGCAGGAAGTGTGTCCACCCTTTGGACGCTCCACTTCCTGTCCAGCGTGAACACTAGGCCTGTTTTTGCATACGTGTTCATTTTTCATGCCATTTTCCCTCTGTGTGGCACACTCTGTTATTTTCCAAAGGAATCGAAGGGATGTGGGATCATTTTTTTCCATGGTTCATTGACGTCACCTGTGTTGTATTATCCAGTGTAAAGGGAGTGAATCTTTGTGATTGTAAGATTGTCAATTCTGATCACCGACTGAATTATTTTCCAAAGACAAACAAAATGAGAAAATCCCTGTAATTCTGTAGTTTAACATCACTGGCTTATGTCTAAAAACATAAAACATCATGCTGAAGTCTCCAATTACTATAAAAGCTGGAATTGTGGTGCAAAACCCCTTGTGAAAAAGAAGTACTCTTTATTATACTTTTAAAAAGAGTTATGGAAATAATATACTTTAAAAGAATATGTTTTCAGAGACTTAATTTCATGTTATTTATAATTAAATAAAAATAATTAATAGATTAAATTAATATTAAATGCAAGTTTAGTACATAAGTACATCTTTATATGTAATTTACTGCTGAATGCACTGACAAGAATTTATGATAAACTAAAATATAAACTAAAATATACTTCAATGTCATTTCTATTGAAACTTGAATGTAATGTATTGAAATATATTTGTAATTACACATTTGGAATTATGTATTCGATGTAATGATAATTTGTAATTTAGTATATTTAAATATATTAACTTTAATCTAATGTTAAATAGTTAAAATTATAATCAATTATTTTACATGTGCTTTATTATGTTAGTCAATACATCAAACAAAGTGTACTTCTTCAAAGCACAACAAATCATTATTAAAACTCTGCTTTAGTGTGTTAAGAAGCAATCATAAAAATGTCTCTATTTAAGTCACTTAAGTGGCCTTTTATTACATTAATATTATATTATCTGCAAGTACAGTTTTTTTTAACATACTTTTAAGATTTGAAGTACACTACAAGTGCTTATTTAATACAATTAAGTGCACTTCTTTTTCTATTTACCTAAAAGGTGTCCTATACACTGTAAAAAAAAAAAAAAAATGGAGTATGTATGTTTTACAACAAAATACAATTTCAGTAGTCTTTCTACAAAATATTACTGCTATTACAGTTTCTTTATAATTAATTGCCAGCTGTACTAGCAGTTTCTGAGTGAAAACTGTTTCCACATCCATTTTTCAGTGCAGGTAAAAGAAAGTCATTTGAGCTAAATATGATATTGAATAAAATAATAATATTCCTTCTAAATTTGATTTGTATGGAAGCCCGTTTCCGCCACAGAATAAAAATCTAAAGTATAATTTAGATTTTTTTTTGCCTCACAATTGCATGTTTATATCACACAAACCTGAGGGAAAAAAGTTACAATTACCTTTTTTTTTTTTTTATTCATTGAAAGAAATAAGCTTCCAACAAATAGTTCATTAGCAGGACACTGTGTTGCTTTGTCGGCCTCGGCCTCTGGATCCTCCTCCTGCGTTCGCTCCGTACAGGTGCTTTGAGCTTCAGCTGTCAGATCCGTGTCACTGAGACTCTTAAACAGATTGTGTCTGCTGTCCACGGCGTCGTCACTCACGCATACATCCAGCGGCACGGATTTCCCTCTGCAGCGCGTCTTCTGCAGCTTACGTGCCTGTGCGTTTATACCTGGAGAAGGTGTTAAAGGAATAGTTCACCCAACAATTTACTCACCCTCAGGTCATCTAACATGTAGGTGAGTTTGTTTCTTCATCAGATTTGGAGAAATGTAGCATTGCGTTACTTGCTCACCAATGGACGCTCTGCAGACAATGGGTGCCGTCAGAATGAGAGAAGTTAGTGTGGATTATTGTGATGTTTTTATCAGCTGTTTGGAATCTCATTCTGACGGCACCCATTCACTGCAGAGGATCCATTGCTGAGCAAGTGACGCAATGCTACATTTCTCCAAATCAGAAACTCTCCTGAGGGTGTGTAAATTTTCAGCAAATTTTCATTTTGGGGTGAACTAATCCTTTATTTATATGCAAGACCAATCACAGTTTATATGCAAATAGTTGTAAGAAAGACAGCAAATTGCAATTCAGTATGCAAATATAGAATACACCAAATCAAAATTGTGGGTTACATTTTAAATGCTGAACATTCAATAAAATTCAATAGCAGGTTTTCAGGTTCAAGAAACCAAAATGAGCAAAATTGCCAATTTAATTTCAGAAGATTAATACTTGTGTTAATTGTTTGGGCTTTAAAACAACCATAACCAGAACTTCGGAGGAAAATAAATACAGTGCTGCCTTGCAAACGGCTTAATACAACTTTAACTTAACTTTCGACAACTTGAACTTTAACCGCTTTACTTTAACTTAACTTTATTGTCAGTTTGGCAAGAGCTAATTAAAATAAAATAAAAATGGTAGGGCTTTCTGCATATCAAAATTGAACCATTATCTCAGTGGTAGTAAATATCTGGTTTCTTGTCTTGCTAAAAGCACAAAATTGTCTGTAGGCAGGAACGAAAAGCGCCTACAGTAAGATGGAAAAAGTAAACCGGTCAAAATGGTTGGTTTCAGTCGTGACAGTAAAAAACATCTTTAATGCAAATGTGATTATGCAGGAGGAATCGTGTCGAGGTATACCAGCGGTCACAGTGTCCTGGTCTTTAGAGTTGTTTTCTTCTACAGTGGCTTTGCGCTGGATCTCAAAGCGTCGAGCGAATCCTTCTCTGGGTTTCCAGAGCGATTGCAGCAGCAGCGGCTTCTCATTGTCTCCCACCACACGAACACATTCGGTCCTCCAGCACTGGTTTCCAATACAGCCGATCACATCACATAACACATAGTCATCAGCGTCTTCTTTGCTCAGGGAGTATCTGAAACAAATACAAACAGCAGAATAACTGATATGTATGAAATAATAGAATATACATTCACACTGCTGTACAAAAGTTTTAAATGTTATTCAAAAAACTCTACTATTCTGCTCACCAAAGCTGCATTTATTTAATCAAATATAGTCAAAATTGTGAAATATTATCACAATTTAAATTAGCTGTTTTCTATGTGAATATGTGTTAAACTGTAATTTATTCCTGTGATCAAAGCTGAATATTCAGCATCATTCCTCCAGTCTTCAGTGTCACATGATCTTCAGAAATCATTCTAATATGCTGATTTGCTGCTCAAGAAACATTTCAGATTATTATCAATGTTGAAAACAGTTAAACAATTAAAGCTACAGTAAAACATTACAAACTTTCAGGCACACACTCTAGCTGTAGAATTGTGAAAGAATGGAGAGTTTCAGTATCTGAGTGCTGACGCAGCATTCGATCCAAAGTGGCTTCACCAAGGAATTCATTTAGCCTTGAATTTCAAACTTCTCCAAACCAACCGAGACATTTGGTATGAAAACTTCTCCTGCCGTTACAACGGACTTTAACCAATGTGCACAAAGGCCGTTTTGTGCATTTACTGAAATTCAAACCCTTAAGAAAACCATCTGGACTTTTTGTTCAGATATCAACCGCATTATGATTTTAAAATATTGTCAAAATATTATAAGCCAAATTTAAATATTATTTCACACAACCCTGAATATATTTGAACCGCATTTACTGCTATGTAAGTCTTTTAGCTTTTACCAGGAAACCCTTTTATTAACTGTTGGTGTTAGGACACTTGGTGCCTTTTCCCTATTACATATTTTAGTAATCATCATAAATTAGGTATCCTTTGAAAGTTTAAATACTGTGATGAAAGCCTTTTTGAAATTAGATAACGCATTACCATGAAAACTGTACTTTAATTCCTCTTAGCAGGCAGTTTTCTTGTGGTGATCATAACTTTTGTAGAAAAAAGTTACTAAAATGTTTCTTAAATCATTCCACTAACTTTATTTTTAACCCACAAAATGTAACATTATTTGTAACAATATTCTACGAATATTAAAATATCCAGTTTTATTGCTGTGGTTATTCAATTATTTAAACATTACAAAAAACATTTCTTAGAATGTTCATCAAGTAAAAATAACATCACGGGGATGTTCGGAGAATGTTGATCTCGGAATGCTTTCTCTAAACATTATGAGTGCATAAAGTTATAAGAATGTTCCAAAAACATGGCTTTAAGGAGATTCATATAACATTTAAAAAAAAGTTAGTGAAAGTTGTGGAAAAGTTCCTTGTTAGCTGGAAATGTTGTGACCATAGACTGTATAAAAACATGGACGTAGTGTCCGTGACGTCACCCGTAGATTTCCGAAGAGTGTTTTTGAAGCTCAAAATTGGGCGGCGTGTTGGCAGCGTGTCACCGCGTGTCATTCCCGGATAATCGAAAATGGGCAAAGAGGCGGGAGCAGGTTACAGGACAACACTTCAAAAAATTCAGTGAACAAAATGTACAGGAACCTCATTTTTTGTGATATCAACTTCAAATTTGGAATACAACTTGGTTTGATATATGGCTTTGAATTTCTAGCAATTGTAGCGTCCATACTATTTTGTAAAATATATTTTTGTGTACAAAACATAAAATGTTTAGTGCAGTGCATTTGCTTCTAAGCTAACTTAAAAATCTATAACCTTAGGTCTGTTATTCCAAAGCATTCATGAATTACATCAATTTAAGTTCGGATAGCGCATTTTCATGTCTAAGCTCAAAAAGGGGGTGACAATTAACAGGTTAAAGATAATGCTAAATACAGTAGCAAAATCAGTGGCTTTATTCTCTGGCCCCACCTGGCGAGTGCCTCTTTAACCAGCTCTCTGGCACTGGAGCGTGTGGTGGCCAGTATGCTCTTGTAGTTGGCTCCTTCACAGATCTCCGTGCCAAAAATCTTTAGAATGCCTGGAGCCGTGATGTGATTGGACAGTTCGGAGGGGTCGTCTGTCACCAGCGCCTCCTCTCCCGTAGCGGCCATCTCTCCAGAACCTCCTCTGGGTCCGCGGCCGAACACCGCCGACAGACGGTGCTGGTGACGCCGGATCTTGTTCTTCGCCGGTTGGCGGATTCCCACGCTCTCTGTTGATCTGGCCGTGCCGCTGGATGAGCTGGACCTGGAAGAGGAACCAAAATGATTGCTCTGTTCTCCACTGGACTGTAGATGCAAACCTACGTCGCTTCAGTCTGGCTGTTCATAACTGCACCCAGTTAATGAACAGCAATGTTCACAAAATGAACAAAGAGACTTAAAAAACACACACACACACACACATACAAAGCTCTGCATAATACTTGGAGGATTTTGTCCAATCCAGTAATCAGTTTATTTCAGTAGCAGTGGCACAAAAGCTCCTTTTCAGCCTTCACTAATTGCGTCAGTAGTACCGTGTATGTGTTTCCTCATCTATTGGCCCTACATAAAATCTTCTAAAACTATAACTCATTTAATTTTTCCACTAGCAGTGTCCAGGTGTGCAAAAAAAGAAAAAATCATTTTTTTTTTTTTTTTTTAGATGCCATAGAAGAACCATTTTTTTTCTTAGGATGAAGAACATTTTAATAAACTAAAGAACCCTTTTCCACTATAAAGGATCTAGTGTGCAATGGAAAGTTTTTATGGATGTAAAAAGTACTTGATGCCAATAAATGCCAACCATCAATTCTAATAAAGAACCTATATTTTTAAGAGTGCAGTGTCATTTACACCTCAAACTATGTGGAATATAATGTTTAAGACTGTAGTGGAAATGACATTTTAAACAAAATAATAAAAACAAATAAAAGAATAAAAAAAGTTATTTTGTCTTTTAACATTAATAAATAAATACATTTAGCAAATTCCACAGCATGTTTTGTACCATAAATACAACTGAATAATAGGCTATTTTCACCTCTTTTAGCATAATTCGACAAAATTGCAGCTTGACCGGAAATAACGCACAACAAAGTATTCTAGATATTTACCTTGATATTCTTCACACATGACATCTCATATTTAGTCTTAACTTCTTATTTGCACTGATATCTCCTTAGTAAACAAGTTCTGATAAAAGTTTTTTTCAGCGCAGAATTGTTTATTGTGGTGGAAATTATGCCTGTGAAAAATCGTTTTCACACAATAAATATCTAAATAATCTATGTTTATTTCACACTTGTTTTAGAACATACCCAGCTAACAAGCGTTCTCAGAACTCTGGCTAACGTTCTGGCAAGGTTCTCTCAACGTTCTTGACAACGTTCTTCCAGTAACGTTAATAAAACACTCGTTCAAAATTATCTGGTCCTTTAAGTTCTCAAAACGTTAGCACAAAAACATTAATTATACATCATTAACGGAACACTTTATATATATATATATATATATATATATATATAATATATATATATATATATATCATTAGGCTACAGTTATAACTAACGTTCTCATAATGTTTCCACAACGATAAAATGGAATGTTCCCTTAACGTTCACATAACTAAGAAAAAACATTTCTTAAAGACATTTAACAAACTGCATTTTGAACACTGAGAGAACATTCAGAAACAACATTTTCACAACTTAATACTAACGTTAACAAAACGTTCTTAGAACGTACTTTCTGTTAGCTGAGTAGCCTTTAGTAACAACACTTTTATTATTGAAAGTATTGTTTTGAAGTCTTTAGACCAATGTAAAAATCATAAAAGGCATTTAAGGTAAATTTTTATTTTACTTAATATAACATAAAAGAGAGAAAATACATGTTGCTTTAAGTCTGTAAAAGACTTAAAAATCAATTCACTTCAAACACATCAACTCTTATGACAGTATGCTTGTATCTGTTTGGCTAACGTGTAAACTATCAATCTAATATCAAAAGGACTGCTTATGAATGACTAGTAGCTACTTTCTGAACTTTGTATATGTACAGTAAGTGGGACTTCAGAAGTGAACTCACTGGACGGATCCATTGCTGTGTTTCCTCCCGACCCGGGAGAATCTTCTGCGGGACGCGCTGAGCGGTAAAGCCGCAGGTGAGGCTGGAGGAGGCGGCTTGGATGTCTGTGAGCTCCGCTCGTTACCGATCATCATTCCCAAAGCTGTCCAGAGCTCGTGTCGTCAAAATAACGGGTCCGTTAGAATGAGCACACATATCATACTCCGCTATGAACAAGCAACGTGAACTGTTCAAATCTTTGCTGCGAGCAGAATGACATCCAGAAGGAAACTTTCTGCTGCTACAGCGCTGCGTCTCAAACGCGCTGAACTGTCTGCGTGGGCAGCACTTGTGGGCATCATGGGCGCGTTCCCGAGTCAGCTCTGTTAAAAATGCTGCGCGTGCCTGTCATGCTTACAAATGCTGTCTACACAGACAACTTACTGATATTGAGACAAGCTGCACGCGCTGCTGATGCGCCGAAGGGAGGTTCCTGAGTGTGTTTTTTTTATTGAAGCTTAACTCAAATCAATAATAACTAAAAGTACCATACCTACCAACATAGCATGGTATAAATATCATTTAAAATCCATGGTGAACATGAATATTGATAGGATATTGAATACTGATATAATATTGAATATTGATAGAATATTGAATTCTCAGTATAACTGAAATTGATAATATTGTCATTATCATATTTTATAATTTTAACACTTCCATCCATCCAACTATCCATCCATTCATCCATCTATTCTTCCATCCATCAATGTATCCATTCCGCCTATCCATCCATCCACGCATCCATCATTGTGTCCATCCATCTATGTATCCATCCATCCATCCATGCATCCATCTAAGCATCCATTCATCCATCCATCTAGTTTCCATCCATCCACCCACCCATGCATCCATCTATGTTTCCATCCATCCATCCAAGCATCCATCTATGTATCCATCCATCCATCCATTAATCCATCCACGCATCCATCTATGTATCCATCCATCCAAGCATCCATGTATCCCTCCATCCATCCATCCATCCATGCATCCATCTATGTATCCCTCCATCCATGCATCCATCTATGTATTTATCCATGCATCCATGAATCCATCTATGCATCCATCCATCCATCCATCCATCCACACATCCATCCATGCATCCATCTATGTATCCCTCCATCCATTCATCCATGCATCCATCCATGTATTCATCCATGCATCCATCTATCTGTCCATCCATCCACACATCCATCCATCATGCCTCTATGTATCCATCCATCCATCTATCCGTCCATCCATCCACACATCCATCCATCATGCCTCTATGTATCCATCCATCCATCTATCCGTCCATCCATCCACACATCCATCCATCATGCCTCTATGTATCCATCCATCCATCTATCCGTCCATCCATCCACACATCCATCCATCATGCCTCTATGTATCCATCAATCCATCTATCCATCCACCCAGTCATTCATCCATCCATCCGTCCATCCATCCATCCATCCATCCATCCATCCATCCATCCATCCACGCATCCATCCATCCATCCATCCATCCATCTATGTATCCATCAATCCATCCATCCATCCATCTATGTATCCATCAATCCATCCATCCATCCCTCTATGTATCCATCAATCCATCCATCCATCCATGCACCCATCTATGTATCCATCCATCCATCCATCCATCCATCTATGTATCCATCCATCCATCCATCCATCCATCTATGTATCCATCCATCCATCCATCCATCCATCTATGTATCCATCCATCCATCCATCCATCCATCTATGTATCCATCAATCCATCCATCCATCCATGCACCCATCTATGTATCCATCCATCCATCCATCCATCTATGTATCCATCCATCCATCCATCCATGTATCCATCAATCCATCCATCCATCCATCTATGTATCCATCAATCCATCCATCCATGCACCCATCTATGTATCCATCCATCCATCCGTCCGTCCGTCTAATTTCAAACCCTTTTTATGCAACTTACCTACAACAAAACCAACAACCACAGACCCCAAACCTCAAACTGTAACCCTTTATCAACCACAACAAACTGCCTAAACTGGGTCAATGTGACTCCTGTCTTCTAGTAAACCTCACTGTAAGTGTTTGAACAGTGATCAATCTGGACAAGGGTCCCATCTAGTGGTCAGTGGACACATACAGATACAGGACATACTGAGATTCAAAAACAACCCTAGCTTCAGCATTCTTTAGTTTTAGGCTCTCATGATCAATATCACACCTTACTTTTTTTTATTATTTAACTATGCTTACATAATATTATGGGATTTCTTATCTGTATTATTTTCATTGTAAAACTATTCTATCTGTACATTGTGCATTGTTGTATTGTCTAACAAACAGATGGAAGCTATGAAAAACCCATAGAAGCATAGTTACCATTCTCTTTACCTTCTAGATATTTTCTAACGCTATTTAACTCTAGGTTAAAAAGTCACCTGTTCGGTATAATCACAGATAATCAAGCAGCTGCTGCAGTTCTTTATTACACCGTTAGAGGGCGCGCAACACCCAAAAAGCGAAAGTACATCAGTTTTTAAACATGAAACAAAGAATGTTAAAAAAAAAATTTTTTTACATCTGTGCTGAGTCACAGTAAACTAACAGTCTCGCTAGATTGTGCAGCATTTGCCATTGAAACAAATGCTTTAGCGTTTGCTGTAGTGTGCTTGATGTTATAGGTTTAAGAGCAGCATAATAAGCACTGTCCTCAACTCAGAGGGTCTACATCACTCCAGAGCAGACAAAGTGTCTAATGTTTCAGCAATGATCCTGACCGTCCATCACTTAATTAAATTGAGCTAAAGACATACAAACGCAAAAAGCATGTTTTTGGCATTAAGGAACAATTAATGCATGTAATGAGATCTCCTTCATCAGGATCAATACTTCGGTTACACTCTCTACTGGCTCACGAGCTTGAACTTTTTTCATGAGTTCTGTTGTTTATTGACTGCTCTACTGTAAACACTTGTTTTCATTAAGAACTACAGGCCTTTATAACACATATACGCAGGCCTTTGCCTAAATGCTGTTCAGCAGTGACAGATTCGTGACAGTAAAGATCCTATATGAATAGGATGCTATGTATGTGCCTGAAGACAATTTGCATAAATGCAAATTAATGTCTAGTAAGTACTATTATCTTCCTGTGGGGCATAATAATGCAAATGTGTGTGGTTTCACCTGCAATGTATGCAAGCATCGCAAAATCCAAAATCACCCACAATGAGAGGAATTGTTCAATGGCTATACACGAAAAACTGCTTAATAAACATCCGTAATAAAATCCAAATGAAAATCTAAAAAGGCAAATGTTTAGGTTTAGAGGTAGAGGATAGTCATGATATAATTTCTCACTATAAAAATAATAAAATAGAGGAAAAGTCTCTACCAACAAAGACAAATGGACATGTGTTTGTTTCTGACCTACTGAAGCATCCCAGTTCTCTCAAAGTTATGAACAAACATTCTTCCAGTAACATTAAAAGAACGTTTGTTAAAAGTTATTTAGCAGTTATTAACACTCACATGAGCACTATATCTATACATCGTTGGTTCATCGTTTTGTAAACATGAATACTTCCTAGTTTCAAATGGTTTAGAGAACATTTAAAAGTAACTTCACATGATGTTTGCAAAATGATAAAATAGAATGTTCCCTTAAAGTTATCACTAACATTCATATGAACAACATTGAAAAAAACAAAACACTTAAAGATTTGAAGAAAATTGGAAATAATGTTTTTATAACCCTTACGAAAAAGAAGTTTATTCAAGTGTGCTATTAGTATACTTCTTTTAAACTAAAAATAGGAAAGTATACTTATAGTCTACTTTTTATGTATTTCTCAGAAATGGGCTTTATGTACTTCTCAGAAATATACTTAATATTTAAGTATACTTGACTTATAGTCTACTTAGAAAAAGTTTAAATATATCTGAGCTATACTTGTGTTCCTAGAATCCGTGTTTTCATTGTTATACTGTAGTGGGCGCTAGTATACATTTTCTGTACAGAATTTCCAAAAAAACACAAGTGAAGAAGAAACCGAAACAACAGATGCTTCCACATGTATTCTAACACGATCATCAGACATAAAACAGTATCAAAACTATGTAACATTATGGAATAAAATGTCGACCAATGAAGAGGTAATAATAACTGTCAAGCTTTGGGGTGTTGATCGACTTTATCTACGTTTTGATTATCGTTCTGAATCCAATTCATAGTCTTTTTTCAGCTTTTTGTTCAAAATGTTGTTTATTTCTTTATTTTTTATTTATGAAACTTATCCACATTCAAGTGTTTAAAAAAGGAATGCATGAAGCTAGAAGCAGATACCCTGTTCTTTTGATGTTTTGTATGTTCAGATATTCATGTAACAAAATATATACAAATTAATACCTAAATAGGGACATAGTAGTATACTTAAAGTATGATGTAAAGTTCACTTAAAGAAAACTTACGAGTATACTTGCAGTATAAAACTACTAAACTAGTAGTTTACTGAGACTATACTTCAAAGTGTACTAAAATGCTACTACAAGTATTTAATTAGTAAACTATCAGTATACCTATAAGTTCACTTTTAGTATAGTTGCAGTACAAGCTAAAAATATTGTTGTAAACTAGTTGTGTACTTAAAGTTTACTACTGTTATACTTAAAGTATACTTAAAAGTATAGTTTTATATACTAGAAAGTGGGCCAATTTAGTCCCAAAGAGTATTGAAATAGTACACTTACAAGTATACTACTAGTACACTGATATTTGTATACTTGCTACATAAAGTATACTTAAAAATATACTTGAACTTTACTTAAGTATACTTAATAAAATAAACTTGAAGTATACTACTTTTTGGTAAGGGAACTTATCGGGAATGTTAGTAAAACGTTCTTAGAACATATTTTTGCTAGCTGGGAATCTTCTGGGGACAAAATTGCCAAGTAAATAGGAGGGAAGACTATTATTATGGATGCCTTTAAGGAAATTGTTAGTTTTTATTTTATTTAAGCATTTAAAATGTTAAACTACTGTTATAAAAGCTTATTTATTTTATTTTTATGTATTATTTATTTGACTAGATAGCTGTACATAGAACGTTCTCAGAACTTTGTCTAACGTCTTGCAAGATTCTCTCAATAACAAACTCTTCCAGGAACGTTAACAGAACGTACCTAAACGTTAGCACAAAGAATTAGCATATTTATACATTATTCATGCAACGCTTCTCTGAAACAGTTGGTCGAACTTTTTTGCAAACGTTTATATTTGCTAGTTTCAGAAAGCAAAGTAACCGTTCCCATAATGATCCCATAATCATATCTTAAAGGGAACGTTGTCAAAACATATCTTGAGGACGAAACTCCCAACATGTCAGGTAACTAGGAGGAAAAACTAATTTTGTGGATGACTTGCTGAAAAAAAAAAAAAATGCTAACAAATATGGATACGCCTCACAGATCTACGCACAAAGTGGGCGGGGCTCTCGTGCCATGACAACCTCAGAGTGACTGTCTACTCTGAACCAAACCAAGCCAGGGGGGTAAGAGAGTACAGTTTCGGACGTCATAACGCGCTCCCCGGGGGAGGAGGGTTAGGAACCGGCCACACAACTAATAACAGATTATCCGCTGTCCGTCGATGCAGTGTGTTTCGTCTATGTGTGCACGTATGAGCGTGTGTTTCAGTTGCATGCAAGAACAAAAGCGCAGCAAAGAAAAGCAGCCACATCCTCCTGTCGGCATAAGGAAGAGCTCCGTTGAATAGCGATGAAGCACTTATGCGGCAATCTGACATTTTGGGTAAGTGCTCATCAACTCTCGCATGGTAAAAACATCCGTACCGCGAGCTTTGGATGTGTTTAGCAGCTTGTGAATGCATATGAAGCTCTGTTTCCTTGACACTCATTAACTACATCAGCCAAGCGTTACGCATTGGTGTAACAATCAATGCGTAACGCTGTTGTTATACATATATAAAGATCTTAACTAATTTTACTGTGGCTTAGCATTAGAAGTAACAGTCGTTCAAACAAAATTACGAATCTGCTGGTGTTCCCCATTAGGCTAAGTTATGAAAACGTTATTTTGGTTTTGGGAATGATTCTCTGAAGTTCAAAACGGGCAAATTTTTTAAACGTTGGTAAAAACATTAAGACTCATTTTGCTGACATGATCGTGAATTTGTTTTTGAATGTTTTCTGAGCCACTGAGAAAAGTAATTTAAAAAAATGTATTGTAAATTTATGTAAATAGGAGGGAAACTAACTTAGTAACGGCTAATGTACTGGCAAGGTTCTCTCAAAGTTCTTCCAGGAACGTTAAAAGAACGTCCGTTCAAAGTCATTTGATCTTTAATAACGTTCTCAAAACGTTAGTACATTATTCATACATCATTCATGGAATGTTTTCCTGAAACATTTTAGTTGGACATTAGTCTAAGGTTTTTAAACATTTCATAAACAAAGGGATAGTTCACCCAAAAATGAAAATTCTGTCATCATTTACTCACCCTCATGTCGTTCCAAACCTGTATGAGTTGCTTTCTTATGTTGAACACAAAAGAAGATATTTTGAAGATTGCTGGTAATCAAACGGTTGGTGGTTGCCATTGACTTCCACAGTATTTTTTTTTCCTACTATGGAAGTCAATGGCAACCACCAACCGTACAGGTTTGGAACGACATGAGGGTGAGTAAATGATGACAGAATTTTCATTTTTGGGTGAACTATCCCTTTAACAAAAAGCATGAAATTAGACGAACTTCCAACTGAAATGTTTCAGAAGAATGTTTCATGAATGATGTAAATATTGTTTTTGTCATCATGATGAATCATTTTTCGTAGCTGAATCATTTGAATGAATTGGTTCACAGCATTGCTTATGAGTTACTAGACTGAATCGGTTTGGGAGAGCATCGATCATCGAATTCATTGAACATTCGACTCGTAGTGATTCGGGTTTACAGAGAGAACTTTGAGTATTTGAATCACTATCAGGTTGACTTTAATACTTGAACAGACAAATTACAGATACAATGTACTGGAATATCCATGTGAAAGCCCGCAGGTGATGGAGATTTACCGCTGATTACAGAACCGGCTTTACTGATAAGATGCGCGTTAAACATCGCATGCGATTTATCGTGCAGCCCTAAAATGTAATAACTTTAATTAATAATATTAAAACATTTACTTGAATTCTTGTATATAGAATGCAACAAAAATAAAGTATGTTTAATGCATGAATAATTTCTTGTAAATGCGTTGCATGTAAAATTATAAACGCATTTATAATACATTATAATACTTATCGTTGCACCTTTAGAAGGTACAGTTCATTTAAACACATGACAAGCAACCAATTTCACATGTAACAAAAATTATAATGCATTTTAGCTAAGGTTGCAGTTATTAATGAAAATATACAATACATTGTACATAAAAGCTTCAAGTACAGTGTGTAAACATATTAAAAACAGCATTTTTATCATCTATATCATTTATACACCACAAAATACAAATACATAGAATATTTTGTCATCATGTCTTAAAGGTGGGGTAAGCGATTTTTCAAAAGCGCTTTAGAAAACTGATTCTCAGTTTCCGGTGGCTAAAACGATCTGGACAGACAGAGGAAGCTTGAGGCTTATGTTGTGAAATTATTCTGCATTAACTGTAACACAACAGAATACGTCAAAAAATATTCTCAGTTCTGTAACTTCGGTTTAATATTCTAATTAAATCAAATTTAATTTCCAGGTTTTATTTTGTTGGTTTAAATCACAATATTTAATTGTGAGATCTTGAAACCTACAGGAATATTTAATGCAATTGTAGACTAATCTTTCTAATTTTGCTGTTTTTATTTGATAAAACTCTGTTGTTTTTAGATAAGGGAGAATTTTTGGTCTCATTATATCAGATTTAATCACTCTATTGTTCCTATTAACCTATTGATTTGAGTGCACTGATACTACTATCACCATCTAAAGTCTGTATTAAATGCTGTAATTAAATACTGCATTACTCTGCTTCCTCAGCAGTTTCATCATTTTTTTAGCATGTTTTTTAGCTGTTCTTTTGAATCCTGTACGGCAGTGGTTTTAGACTGTAGCTAGTCTTACTGTATAGACTGAGGCGCCGCTGTCTGGCTGCATTCAGCTCATTTGATTGTGCTCACTCAGATTTAGATTAGTTTTGCTCAGAAGCCGCGGGTAAGGTAACGGCATACTCTCGCTGAATGTGTGTGTCAGCGGCTCCTCGTTGAATCTCATTGATGCGACTCTTTTGCATGAGACATGCACTGAAACACATTGCTCTCACGCTCCTTTTTCATCTCTGTTTCTCCTGCTTGCTCTACATTCTGTGTTGCGCATACGGATCGTGTCCTCAAATGTCCTCGAACGTCTTCTTCATTCATTGCAGCAGCCACGCTCTGTTTATATGAAGGACAGCAAAACCACTAAAGACAAACGTATGCTATTATCATGAAAGCTGCTGTTTTATAGCAGAGATCATTTTTGCAATGCGGGGAAATGTTTCCAAGATGTAAACTGGAAGTGTCAGTATCTGAAATCGAATAAAAAGCTGCGCGTTTCTCCATAATAAACAAGAAACTACAGCATGATGGGAATCAATTACAGTCAATCAGGAGATATTTTAGGAGATGGAATTTTGGGACAATCAGATTTAGCAGTTGCTGATCATTATTTTATATATTAAAGATATTTTAAAAAATATACTGTATAAAATATTTTTATTTTATAAATTGTTTTATTTAAAATAATTATTGATTCAATTTTTATTGCATTTTATATAAAGATCTCTTTATATAGATTAAAATTCTATACAATACTGTCTTAAAAACACTAACAAATTAAATAAGTGAATTTAGGCATCATAACATGTACAGTATTAAAAAAATGAATATTCATTATGAGACTTTAAAATTTTTATTTAGCTATAGTAAATTATTAGTATTTTTTAATCTGTAAGTGAGCGTTGGATGACAGCAAAATGTGATTCACATGTAAAAACAAAAGAAATGAGCATTCAAAATTAAATATCTAATATTGAGTGACTGATAACTGATATGATACAAGTATATTATGTATTCCTAGTCTCATACTATCAGCCTATCTATTAATGTAAATTGTTCCAGTATAATTTTGTCAATAAACTGATGCCGCTTACTCAGATAAAATGTTACCCAGCTTTGTAACTTTGAAATGTTACTATTTCATTTTATCATATATCATTTAAGGCATTGATTTCATGTTTCATATTTAGGTGAAATCCCTCTCAGTGCAAAAACAACGGCTGAGTTACTCGAGAAGAGCAATTAACTAAACTGAGATCAGTGGGAATTACTTGTAGCATGTTGCTGTCCCAATTTCAAATGAGCACAAAGTAGTTAATCCATCAGGGATTACCTCCGAATCGTTAATACTGAATGTTACTATAATGAGAGCTAAAGCAATTACTGGCGTGTGTGAAATGTCAGGTAAGGTAACTCATTCCAGGGCATAACACGTTTCTTAGCCGGATGGGCACGGTCTGTTCCGTTTCAAATCTCTCACCTCTTTTGACCCATGTTTTCACTGGAAATTCTTAGGCTACATTGGCAACCTATTGGATTTTGCCTGGATTGTCTCATGACTGGCATCGAATTTGTCGGTTTCGGCCCTGAATATATTTAATGTCTGCTTGAATTAATCCCTATTAGCACTACGCTCAATTCATGCAAACACCTAAATAATGCCACTGAGCAGGTGCCTTTGCTTTTAGGGGTATTAATAAATGTTTTCTGCAATTAAAAAAGTAGTTCAGCCAAAAATGAACCCTCAGTCCATCCAAGATGTGAAGATTTCTTCATCAGATTTGGAGAAATGTAGTATTCCATCACTTGCTCACCAATAGATGCTCTGCAGTGAATGGGTGCCGTCAGAATGAGAGTCCAAACAGCTGATAAAAACATCACAATAATCCACAAGTAATCCACACCACTCCAGTCCATCAGTTAACGTCTTGTGAAGCCAAAAGCTGCGTGTTTGGAAAAAACAAATCCATCATTGAGACTAGGGATGTTCATTTTAACCGTTAACCGACCATAAGAATTTTTGACCGATTAATACAATCAGTTAAACGGTTTAAAAAGTAATTATCAATGTTTTTTCAGTAATTTATCAAAATATTTAAAAAGGTTTGCTGCATGGTTAAAATACGCTACGCGTATATAAAAAAAATGTGTTTTTTTAGAAAACTTTTATTATTTCTTTCAGAAATAGGCCTAATGCCGACGTGAAATGTTTACAAACATTATAATAAACACTGTAAACATAGCTAGGCTATTTTAGTTCCCCTCCGCAACAAATCCTTTCAATTAACAATTCTAATTTAAAATAATCTTGTCGGTTAACGGTTAATAATCGGTTAACGAGCGTCGGTTGTCGGTTAGGAAAAATAACCTAAATGAATATCCCTAATTGAGACGTTTTTAACTAAAATACGAGTCTAAAAACCATAATAACACTTCCTCCAGTGAAAAAGTCACCTGGTCTGAATCAGGAGAGCAATCTGCACAGATCAAGCTCCGTTTACAAGCCAAAAGAGCTCTAAACAAATATGTGGGTGCATTTTGATGTGAGAGACAACAGGAGATGGACTTTTTCATCCATCGAAGCTAAAAACGTCTTAATGATGGATTTGTTTCTTTCAAACACACAGCTTTTGGCTTCTCAAGACATTAACTGGTGGACTGGAGTAATGTGGATTATTGTGATGTTTTTATCAGCTGTTTG